AGGAGAAGCTGTGACAACCTCCCAGAGCTGTTTGTCACAGCARGCTGGATGCTTCTCTCCTCACTGACTGCTTTACTCCATGTGCTCCTCTCTTAGATTTCTTGGAAAAACTCTGACACATATACAGTATCATAAAATGATTTAAGGTTATACTTGCCCTTTGTGACTAATGCTTTGTGGCATTAGGTAATTGCTTAATTGAGCATTTAGAAAAGCATTAACATATTTTCCTCTGCAAATGCATTATTAATATATACATTACAATCTCTGCTGTTAAGGCTTTGTACAATTATTAATAGACTTAAAACACTGTGAACTRCATGAAAATATTTTCTGCTAGGAAAAAGAAACTCAAAAGGACACAAATCATACCTGGTCTACCATCATTATAAATTAAGTATTTGTATTGGKACTTCTTCACTCCAACAGTCCTCAGCCGGTCTGCACCAGTTAAAATGGGAAGTATGAATATTTTTATTGTTTCACATTAATTCACAAGGCCAACTTAGACGGTTAAAGAATAACAAACTGTTTTGCATCCACTCCTTTACACCACTGACTTCTTCACCATATAAAATGTTGTTTTTCTCCAGAGCAGCACACTACCTCTAATATCACCCCTTCCATCTAGGCTGTATTTAGGATTGCGCTCACAACTTGCATTCTCCTGGAAACGAGAAAGGCACTGCTCCTACAAGTGTTAATTTGTTTTTAATGCTTTGGGAAGAACACATTAAAGATTTTAATGAGGTTTGTTTTTTTTTTTTTTTTCAAAATAGTAGGCAGTGCCAAAAACACATGCAGGCTTAAATACAGTACCAAAACCAGTGAAAACAATGAAAGGAAAGACAAAAAGGAGGTGCAGAAACCCCACACAATTCTTAATGACCAGAAATAGTTTGTGGGGRTTACAACTGCTGGACAATATGGGGYTGAGAGATAAAAATAATTCTAAATTTAGAAAAACTGATGATATTGGGTAGACTGAAAGCTCCACCCAATGCAGCAGTTTCTGAGAGAGGTTGATAAGATGTAAGTAGGAAGACAGAAAGAACAGAGCAGTTCTATACTTCCCCAAAATGTCTTTCCAACTCCAGCAACTTTTAAGTCTGAAGTTAGATCAAGAGTCTTTGATGATTCTCCAGTTGCTTTTCAAACCTATGCAAAGCTTTAGTACCCACTATATCCTGAAGCAAAGACYAATAGCTTAACTATGGACTGAACGAAGCATTATCTCCTCTTGTTTGTTTTGAATCTTCCAAGTTCTACTTTCATTTGCTRTACCTCAGTTCTCATGCCTGCTAAGTTAGTGAACAGTCTGGATTYCTGGTCCTTATTTGGATCTCTGAAGATTTTACATGGATTTTGATATTATTTCCCCTCCCGTGTAGACTGAAGTGACCCATTTGGGTCAAGTATGACCACTTTGGAAGCCCTCTTACTATTTCTGATAATTTTATTGATTTTTGTTTGATCTGTTGCAGTTTTACCATACTATTTTTGAGATAAAGACACTAGAACTGCACTGGCAATTAAAGATACAACAATTAAAGGTGCAAAAGGGCACATTTTATCTCAATTTCTTTCTTAATAATTTTTAACAATAATCTTAACAATTCTCAATTTCCATTTTGATCACTGCTGAGCTCTGAGTTGATGTTCTCACAGAACCACCGCTCATAACCTCAAGGCCTTTTTTCCTCACAGTTCCTCAGTATATATGTGAAATCAGGAGTGTTGTTTTGTCATATGACAGCCTTTCATATTTATCAGATTTTAATTTCCTCTGACATTTTACCGACTCTAYCAGTAACATAAAGTAATTCAGTTTTTCTCAGTTAGCCCTACCCTGAATAGCTTATTATGATCAGCACATTTTACAAATCAATATTTACCTCAATTTCTATCAGTTATTTGTTCATGCTTCATATCCATTAGCAGCCTTGCTTTTTGCTTCCTTTGGGGAGGAATCTTACAGATTGCTTTTGGAAACCATCATAGACAGTTAATTGAATCTTCAAGGTCCATGGAGCTTCTTCAAAGAAAGCTTTTCTGAGAACTAATTTTCTTCAAAAAAGCCATAATGACTTTCCTTAATGTGTCATCTTCTCCATGTGCCCAGTAAGTATTTTCTGTTCTTCAGAATAATTTCTACTTATTTGTCTAGCAAGGACATCCGGCTTCCAAGTCTACAGCTTCCACAATCTTCTCCAAAATCCTTAAAAAAATCTGGTGTCACATGAGCAATTCTCCAGACCCCACTGATGCTGAGGTAGCTTTAAGTGAGAAGTTAGAGACAGCAGTTAGTACCTGAATCACTTCATCCAAGAGCTGCTTAAAAACTCTTGGTTGAACACCATCTGGTCTCAGCAGTTGGCTGCTGCTCACTTGTTAATGTGTTCCTTCATCTTTTTTACTTACACTTTAATCCAAGACATGTTTTCCTAATTACTCCCCTTAAAGATGCTTCCCATTTTTAATAGTTTACCCATTCTCATCCATCCCATTCACAAATGCAAAAATAAATTTGGCTTTTCTTTTRTGGCTGTATCTTCTCCAGATGTTTCTTCTGTATATGAAACAAACTACTTGCCTTACAGAGCTGTCAAACTCCAGCAGGCTCCCTGATTTGTTCAAGGAAAGACTTGCTACTATTTTTTTAAACTTTTACAAGCTGACCCTGAAGTCTTCTTCTGGATCCTCACAATTTTGTACTTAACTCATCAGAGATTACAGTCCCCTGTAATTTTCAACCCCCTTTTGATGAAAGATAAAACTTATTTCATATTGCTCCTCTGTTTTTGAAAAAAAAGCAGAATACTGCTGTTTTTTGTGGTGCTACAAGGGTATTGAAACCAAGGATGCTACAGTTGCAGCTACAGCATGGGTCTTCGTCAACAATAACATGACGTTCTTCAAGACCAAATCAGGGATTCTTTTCCTCCTCTGGCTTCCCAATGAGCAATCACAGTTTCTAAAACGTTAGATACAGCCCTACCCCTCCTATGACATTTATCCAACTTGAGTTATTGAAGTCASTTATGATTGTGTTTTCTGCCTCTCAGACCTTGATCTCCCTCCCTTATTAGCTGAACTGGTGATGCATTCCTAGTACTGCATTTTTCTGGGACTCCAATTCACYGAGACTCTATCTTATTTATTGGCAGAAATAATTGCTGATTGGAGGTTCCTCTAAGCTTTCTTTAAAATACAGCATCACTCATCCACTGTTATGCCTCACCTTGCCTTTGTATTTTATATCTCAGAAATATGAAAAATATCAAAATTGATTGCTCACTTTTCCTATCAGCTTTCAAAACATGAATACAATGCATCTTTGCTGCAGCTGCTCTTCTTCAAGGCTTCTTGCAAAGTCTGGCTGTCTCCTGGCCAAAGTCCAACATGACAGGCCTTGTGACACRCTTGTGCATGCCTGGCTGTACAGTTAGGGTCTTTATTTATGGAAAGTCCAAGCTAATGAACAGTTGCTTGCAATTAAGGAGGAGGACTAGCAATAAGAGATAATACTAAACAAATCTTCTGTCYTCTGTTGTGTCAATAGCTAAGACAATGCAGCAGGGAATGTTTTATTTCTGATCTGTGAATGTTTTCTCTTGAATTGTACCAAAAGTGACCAAGGATRTGCCCTTACTACAACTCAAACAATCAAAGAGCCAACAGAACATAGAAGCAATATCTTACCCACTGCTGAAAACAAGAGATGTAGTTTAACAAGAACTGTGAAGAAACAACCAATATAAGGATAAAAAATACATCTGTGTTTATCCTGTATAAAATTTGAAAACGTCTAAATGATCCTGCTTCAGGACATGAGCTCATCCATCCCTTACAGTAAGGGAACATTTATAAACCGGTCAGAAAATGGTTGTTTACAGATCTCCTTGTGCAGCAGTTGTTCCAGCAGGAAAGAGATGTAGACCTCTACAATATCAAGCCTTTTAAATCGGGAATGGCACCTCAGAGACAATTTTATCCCATCCCCTCTCTAAGAACAAATCTTTCTTGTTTCTCTTGACATATCCAACGCAGTGTGTAATGCACTGTCATACCATCGCTAATAATTAGCAGCTGCCGGTGCTTGGAACRGCTGATTGTTTTGCATCAATCATCTAGGTTAGGGAACAATTTGTAGATACCATAGCAGTAAGCCAGATATTTAAAAAAAAACCCAATATTTTCCTGGCATCACACAGACTGTAATGATTTAATGCGTTTYCCTGCTTCATCAGCTTTCCCTCATCCGGCGCCCAGGCTTCCTCGTTTTGCTCCAGTGGTTTTCCAGCTCTTTATTTGGTGGTGCAACTTGTGACTTCTAAGGCCATGGTCAGATGGATTTGCAAGGTCGTTTCCCCTCCTTTGCAAGTCAAGCAGCCGCTTACACAAGTG